AACAAGTGCCACGCTAGTAGTAACAGGTGCCTTACTAGTAGTAACAATGTTTGCTATTAGAAACTCCAAATTCGGCGGATTCGTCCGGTGGGCCATGGTGTGCCTGACTCGATGGGCCCAAGAGATCCTTGACTCGATGCCCATGGTGGGCATTGACTCGTTGTCCTTCTACCCGTTGGCCTTCACCGCAGTACCTCCGTTCCAGGACACCTTCAGGTGTGCGCGGCACTGCTGAAACATCCACCATTGGATGTGGCCACTGGGCTCATTCCTGGACTGTTCACACAATGGAAAATAGCTCCAAACTACAAGCGATGGCCTCCAACCTACTAGCGATGGCCTTCAACCTAATAGCGGGGAATTCTAATATATTCTGGTTCTATTCTAAACTACATCGGGTGTAATGGCTTTAGGACCATTTCAGGACCCCGACAACCAGACCCAGTTCCGCTGCGAGGTAGCTGTAGACATGTTGGGCTGCAATGCCCTCCATTGTGCAGCAGCAGGAGGCAAAGAGAGCAAATCTTTGCAGTCTGTGACTCTTATGGGTGTCAGTGAGAACGGACAATGGAACACCTCACTTCACTGAAAGTTATTTTGACCTTAGGGGAGTTTGGGTGCCTTGTTGCTGAGACCCCACACACATCCTTTGGCCCTCAGAAAGATCAAAGGCCCAACTCAGATCAGCATATTTGCCAGCTATCAATGCCATCAGCAATGCAATATCAAATAATATCAATGCAACATTCCCAGCAACCTGCGGGCCTCTAGAAGAGACGTTTGTGTAGACTAATTGTCGCAGGTGGTGGCCTGTTGTAGGTGCTGGTATGCACTCCATGTCCTGTGGTAGAGCGCATTGCAAGACATGGGACAGGGTCCTGGTTGAGCCAAGATTATCCTGAGATATCCTGAGTATCCTTTTAGGAGCTGCTTCTGAAGGCCATGGTGAGACTTGCAAGCTGATCTTGAAGCACAGCGCAGAAATTGCGATGCACGGTACGTTCCAAGTGATTGTTCAGCCACTTGGCCGCTTAGCATATGACGGTCGAGGAATGAAAACAACTATTGCTGGATGGGTTCTCTTTGCTGCTACTGTAGAAAGATTGTCAGGTACGTCACAGATGAAGTCTTGTGGCCATCATAGGAGACCATTTGGTCCTTCTACGTACCTTCAGAAAGGCAAGGATAGTACTGTGACGGTCATCCACAGTCATCCATTCGTCAGGCAGAGGAACATCTGGGGGCAAACCGCTTTGGATGTTTCGACTGGATCTGCGAGAAACGTGCTGACCAAAGAAATAGGCAAAGACCTTTTCTCCAGCGAAGCAAAACATCGTTGCAGCATGTTACAGTGTTACAGTATGTTAAATCAGGTAAGTCTTTTACACCTCCGAAGATATTGTCATTTACACCTCCGAGAAGCACAGGGTACAGGAGCTCTTTTGCAAGTCATATGCTTGGTACTAAACACGAGTATTGTAGCAGATCACTTGGACTGAAACGCACCTTGCACACTGATTGTTCAGAGGACAACCACAAGAATTTCAGCATTCCAGAAATCTCATGTTTGCAATGTTTTTGTTCGTGGTCTTTGGGCTCAACTGCAGCCTGCTGCGGGAATGTCGAGCTCAAAAGCTCCAGGCAATTGGCCCAATCTCTCATCTAATATTGTTCCGGAAATGGATAGAGTTGGGCACAACTTGCTAGCTCATTGTTATAGTCATAGTCATAGTCGTTTCAACTTTGTTTCGTAGGTCTGCAAAAAAAAAAAAGGTAGTTTTACAGAGCCCTGGAAGCCCCATTTGGTTCTCTAAGATGTTTGCAGTGTTAAAGCGAGTGAATATCAAAAGGGGTTGAAGGGATGATTTGACAACAAGGCCGATTCGGCCCTGATTCGGCACTGCAGGTGTCCCGTTGACAACTTGAGTCATGCCTAGGGCCTTCGAGGCCTTTCAGCTGATTTTTTCTTTGACAAGTGAAGAGATAAGATACCAGGAGAAAGGCAGGAAAAAGGCAGCTCTCTCGTGCTAGGATTTGCAGCCATGCCTGGACTATGGCAAGAAGGCCTTCGAGGCAATCATGTGGAAATCTTAGTGGGATTTCAGAGAGAAAGCTCCATGTGTGAAAATGGGCTCCCATGGGCACCTACAAGGCCTTAGGTTTGGAACACTAAGAAACGATTTTTTTTGTATCAAGAACTCCCACCCCTTTGCAGCTACCACAAAACCAATCGAAACCACATCGCATCCCCGAGCTCTCAGCTAGACCAAGGAAAAAAGACATACCAGAGGCAGCGGCAGCCATTGAAGGGCACTGCACGTTTGTGTGAGGAGGCCAAGTTTAAGCTGGGCGCTCTCAGCATTTTTCCCCTGAAATGCTGCGCTGGATGACTAGTTATCCTCACGGTTCGCCTGTCGTCGTCACACATTGCCACACCGTGATAGTCGGGTGGTAACTGCCACACCGTGGTTTGCCACAAACATACGACCTCAACGTGTCAAATCATGTCAACTTGGTCTCGTTCTTTTTTCTGGGTCAGAGGTTTGCTCTCCATCATCGGCAGGGAATTTGATCGTATTTACATATATTTATAATTGATTATATACATTATACATTTATGTACTCATTGTTCAGGTGGGATTGGGTGCCTGAAGAGATGCCAATGGAGTGCTGCTGCCATGTCATTTTGAGCGACTTGAAAGAATCAGTGAGGACTTCCACCAGGTTTGGACAAGTAAAACACCAAAGTCACTGCCATTTTTGGCAATGATTTGGTCAGCATCGAACTCATTCCAAGCCTTTGGGAATTTGAACCATGAATGCGGCCCACTGCTCCAATGTTTGATGGACCCTGAACTGCCCAATGACTCGAACAGCAAAGCTCAGCTGTGTGATGTTTCTCTTCTTCCAAACAGCTGCCTGTATCATGTTTGCCTGGGACGCCAGGAATGATTCTGGCACTGCAATGGTTGATGCAGTACCGCTCCCAGCAACACCACTGGTTTGGCCTTTTTTGGTTGATCGATAGATGGCCGGGTTCATCACCAACATCGTGATGTGTTTACTGCTGAATGTAGGATGGACAAGACTTCTGGGGGCTGGTTTGTTGCGGGAGAGTTGCTGCACCTACAGACTTGCACCAGGTGAGGGAGATCGTGGCAAACTCATGTTGCCAGCTGCTTGCCAGCAGTTATAGTCAGAAATCTTGGGCCAACGTGACCCAAGACGTTTGGGCAACCCGTTTCTATATATCTCTGACTGTTCCTCAGGGATACTTTACTTACAACAGAAAAAATAAACAATAACCAAGGATTCTTTGGCTGATAAGGTGCTGCTGAAAACTTGGAAGTGCATGCTTTTCATTCCTTTCCAACAAGAACTTGCTTTTGGGGAGTTTTCTTCTCCGGCACGAACACTTATGGCCAGTAGGGGAACAATGAACAGCTCAGGACAGCTCCAAAGGCAACAGGTGGTTCTGCCGAGGCCGAGGAGCGCTTTTTTCCATCTATCTATTTATATATGTAATTTGTTTTATGTTTTTCTAATTTATTGGTTTTATTTGTTTCTTCTCATTGGTTTCCTTTTTGTTTTTCTTCTAGACACTCTAGACCAGTATCTATTTTAAGATATTGTAGAGCAGTCTATCTTGGAGAGGAACCCTTATCCAAATCATTTTGTTCCCACCATAGTTTGATTTGCAACAGGAACGTAAGGACAGCTAAAACATGCTACAAATCAAGAGACCCAGAACTTTTGTTACGGGATCTGATTGAGACTTGAGGCATTGATGTATGATACGCTCGCTTCCCAAGTTATGTTGATGGAAGAAGAACTTGTCAGAACACTGGAGCGACAAACATTTGCAGAAGCCTATTTCACGCAAATTGCTTGCACCCAGGATGGTGACTCTTTGTTAGATATTTTAGAGACACGTGGGCGTTGATACTTGATACCCACTCTTTGCTTTCTTTGCAACGCTTTGACAGCTCAGATTGCAGGACATCCTTGTTTTTGCCGACCAAGCCGGCCTTTGTCAGAGGCGCAACTGTGATTTGTGAAGCGGTCTAGCAGTCAAGGCACTTGTACAACCCTCCGAGTTGTACTACACAGATCTGACACAAGTTCCCCAGACTGATCAAATCCGCCTGAGGATCCTCGAAAAAGCGCCTGAGGGCAGAGTCAAGTGCTGAGTTGATTTCACTTTGTGTTTTTGTCAGTTTAGCAAGCAACATGTCTCTCACAGCCCAACATGCACCACCTTGAGGTAGGTTCCAAAAAGATTATCACCAAGCCTCCTCGATTGCTGACAGCGGAGCCGCAGCTTGTTTCTTTGGGCGAAGAAGCAGTGCCTTCATTCTGTTTTTTTTTTTCCGGGCTAAAGACTTCTGTAAACTAGTAGCAAGGTGCATCGGGACTAGTAGCAAGGACGCTACTAGTAGTAAGGCACCTTGCTACTAGTAGCGTCCTTGATACTAGTAGCGATGCACCTTGCTACTAATAGCTTATATTCCGAGGAAGACATTATGTGAAATAGAGTCTATTGCATATTGTGTGTCAATGCAGAATGCATGTTCTCCTTATCCCTGTTTTTCCAGGAGGATTGCCAGACGCTGTTGCAAAAGGGCAAGTATGCCAGAGGCTTTGAGATTGCTGAAGCTGGTTGGTAGATGCAATATGGTACAAGTACGTACGAAGGCAAGCACTCATTGGATATTTTGTGCGAGTTACAAGTTTGATCGAGTTTGTATTTGTTGACAAGAGATCTTTCTTTTTTGGTGGATGGGCTGGAGCTTAAGGACCTAGTGCTGGTTGGCTCCGGCTTGGATCCGCCGAAAAGTTGGGAAGCTCAGGGCAGATGGGTGTGGGTGGAGCACCTGACTCAATGGTGTAATTAATTATATATTTAGTATAATATATATGTAGTATTTATATACTTACTTTTTGTTGCGCCTTGCGAATCAGAGGTTCATGCACTGTTGCACACCATTCACAAACAGCTCCAGGATGCTTCGTTGTGGCCGAAATAAGGCAATAGCACCGCTGATGTCATTGCACATCAATCAGCCGTGGACAAATTCCTTTTCCATTTGCTGCAGACCATGAACCTGAATGTATGCCTGGCTCTGAAAATCGATTCGTCGAGTCCAAGAACCCAACTCGACTCGTCAGAAGGGGATTCTCTCCTTTTTGAGAGGGATTGTACTGTTCACTGTTGGGTTGTGTTTGCATTCAGAAGGAGATCCTGTTTGCATGGCAGGAAGGCTGCGCTCAGCGAATGGCAGTGTTGACCCACGAATCTCGGATCGAAGGGAAGGGAGGGGTGCAAATGTGAAAACCATCCCAAAGCACTTCTGGGGTCTTCTTGAACGGTTAAGGAATTATGGAATGTACATTATAGAAAAGATCATACAACACAATCAAAAAGCTGTCATATTCCTCAGCCCCTCACTCTTTTGTCCGCATTCTTTTTGGCTGCTTATACTGGTTGACTGAAGATGAATTCCAAAGGACACCTTCTCCACCGTGGAGGAGACCCACAAACAGCGAGGCGCAGCCAGCATTGAAATCATTGAGCCTTGCTCACACATCATGGTGTTCCTGGTATGTCAGCATTTATACGAATGACCAACAGCCAAAAGATGCCAAAAGGGTCCGGCCACAAATCTTTATGTGAGAGGAGCTTTTGCACAGGAATCATGAGGGAGTCCTGTAAAGCGATATGGTGAACAACCAAAAGCGATACCATAATTTCATTCAATTTCCTTTATGTTTTTTTCTTGGCTTGGCAATGTAAGCTTTACGTAAAGCGATACCACTCTTTGCTTAAATGGTGTCTAGATGAGCGGGATAAACTTTTGTATCATTGTATCTGTGTATGCCACACATGAAGAGCTCCAGAAAAAGAATCGCTGGGGAAGTGAAGCGGAAGGAGGGCTACAGATAGAGTTTTCTCTCTCTCTCTCTCTACCTCTACCCATATCCATGTGTAATTGACCCAAGCATCCGAAACACTCTAAGCGATATAGCGAAAAACATATGGAGTGCATAGGTTTTGGCGCTCGCTCATATCAGAAATCAGAACTGTATGTTGGCCTGGCGAAGAAATAAGTTCCTTGCATCAGCTCGCAGGCTTCAGCATGAATC